CGACTGCGCCACCCAGGCGCCCCTCTTTCTCTCTTTTTTAATTAAGTAGGCTTCATGCCCAGTGCAGAGCCCAACACAGGGCCTGAACTCACGACCCTGAGATCAAGACCCAGGACGCTTAACTGACTGAGCCACCCAGGCACCCTTCCTCTTCTCATCTCTCTTTCATCTCCCTATTCTTGGTCCTGTGATTTGGACTCCCCTAATCTTGAGCTGTCCATGGCTTTAATATAGTTCCATGGCTTTAAATGCTTTCTAGTGCTCATGATTCCCAAATGTGCAACTTCAGCTTCGACCTCTCCTCTGAGCTCCTGACATGGATGTCAAAGCAATACGGTGGGGTGCCTGGATGGCTCAGTTAGTTAAGCATCAGAGTCTTGATTGCAGCTCATGATCTCACCATTCTTGAGTTCAAGCCCCATGTCAGGCTCTTTGCTGACAAGGGAGAGCCTGCTTGGGATTCTCTCTCTTTGTCCCTCTCCCACTTCTCAAAATAAATAAATAAATTTAAAAACGACACTTTAAACAGTGCTGGGCACACAGTAGGAGCTCAATAAATGTCACCTCCCTACCATTACCTCTCTGCCCTCCTTTCTCAACACTCACTTCTTTCTTGGGACAGCTGCTTTGTTCTCTGAACAGATCAAGTACTCATGGACCCTACTTGTTCCCTGTGCCTAGAGCTCTCTTCTGTTCTCTGCATGGCTGGCTCATTCTTAGCTCAGAGAGGCTTTCACTCACCACTCCTTGTATACAGTGACATTCCCTATCACTTTCTCATCTCACCTTATTCATTTCCTTCACAGAACCTGCCACAGTCATAAAGCCATAAGATTTATTTCTTCGTCTGTCTTTTCCCATATATAGTCTGACTCCCTTATGAGATCATAAGCTCTATGAAAGCAAAGACCTTATCTGATTTATGCATCATTGTATCATAGACCTAAATTAGTACCTGGCAAACAGCACTTGCTCCAATATTTGCTTAATGAAAAAATCAAATGAATGATTTTAGTCAAATCTTTACTTTTTAATCATTGATTCTTCTTTCTTTCTTTCTTTCTTTCTTTTTTTTTTTTTTTATGTTTATTTTTGTGAGAGAGGCAGACAGATCATGAGTGGGAGAGGGGCAGACAGACGGAGACACAGAATCTGAACCCGGCTCCAGGCTCTGAGCTGTCAGCACAGAGCCTGACGCGGGGCTCGAACCTATGAACCATGAGATTATGACCTGAGCTGAAGTCGTGTGACTTAATCGACTGAGCCACCCAGGTGCCCGATTCTTCTTTTTTTAAAAAAAGGCTTTGGTAAAATATACATAAAATTTACTATTTTGACCCTTTTACAATGTACAGTTAAGTACATTCACATTGTTGGGTGACCATCACCACTATCCACTCCAGAATTTTTTCATCTTCCTCATGAAACTCTGATCCATTAAACAATAGCTTCCCATTTCCCTCTACCCTTAGCTTGACAATTTTTTCTCTATGACTGTGGGCTACTCTAGGAGCCTCACCTAAGAAGAATCAAACAATATTTATCCTTTTGACTTTTTCTTTTTAAGCATAAGTAGATTCATCC